AGGTTTCAAGTGTACATTTCTATAATACATCATCTATATATTGCATTGTGTGCTCACCACCCAGAGTCAGTTCTCCTTCCATCACCATATATTTGACCTCCTTTACCCTCTTTTATCACCCCTCTCCCCCCTTATCCTCAGGTAACCACTAAACTGTTACTCTGTGCCTTTTTATTGGCGAGTTCAGTCCATTTACACTTAGGGTGACTGTCGATATATGAGGATATATCTTTTGTTTTGTGTTCACTCAGTGTCTCCATTGTTTCTTTGCCTTTGTCTTTTGTCTGTTATTTTAGTTTGGTAGTATTCTGTGATTTTTCCCTCTGTTTTCTATGTCCATTGCCCTTTGCAGATTCAGACCTTTACCCACTCCCCTTTTATGTTTTTGTTGTCATAAATTATCGGATTTATAAATGAGTTCATTTCTGAGTTGCCGTTGCAAATTATCTTCTTTTTTTCTTTTTTTATGTTTTTGTTTCCTTTACCCTTTATGTTATGTTTAAGTGTTGTATAGTGCCCTATTCTGTGTAGGTCTTGCCATTTCCTGCTTCTGTCTGTCTGTCAGTAATCTTACTAAGTTTTGTATACTTCTTTTTGTTTCAGGTAGAATAATCTCCTTCAGTATTTCCTGTAATGCAGGCCTTATGGAAAATTCCCTCAGCTTCTGTATATCTGGAAAAGTCTTTATTACTCCTTCATATCTAAAGGATAACTTTGCTGGATATATTATTCTTGGCTGGTAATTTTTCTCTTTCGGTAGTTTGAATATTTGTTTCTACTCCCTCCTAGCTTGTAGAGTTTCTGCTGAAAAATTATATGGTAATCTAATGGACTTTCCTTTGTAGGATACCATCTTCTTTTCCCTGGCTGCCTTGAGAATTCTTTCTTTGTCATTAATTTTTGACAGTTTCAAAATAATGTGCCTTGGAGAAGGTCTTTTAGAATTGAGGTAATTGATGTTCTGTTTCCTTCTTGGATTCAAGGACCCAGTTCTCTCCATAGGTTTGGGAAGTTCTCATTGACCCTTTGTGTGAATAAGCTTTCGTATGCCTTCATCCATCTCTTCTCCTTCTGCTGTACCCATTATTCTTTTTTTGGGGGGGGGGTGAGGAGAACAGTGTTGGGGAATTGGGGAGGGCCACTAGCCAAGTTGTTATTCTTCAGTCTTAGTTGTGGAGGGCGCCAGTCGCTATCTGGCTGCCCATTGGCAGCTCATGGCCTCTAAACTCAAGGTGCTGTGTTCAATCTCAGTTGCGGGTGGGTGTAGCCACCATCCCATGCGGGAGTCGAACTGGCAGCCTTGTTGATAAGAGCACACGCTTAATCCCCTGAGCCATCCAAGTGGCAGCTCAGCTCAAGGTGCCGAGTTCAGTCTTAGTTGCGGGCAGACATAGCCGACCATCGAATAGGCAGTCTTGTTGTTAGGAGCACGTGCTCTCACCAGCTGAGCCATCCTGCCACCTGTTGGCAGCTCAGCGGCAGCTCAGCTTGGGCACAGCGTCCCTGGCCCATGTGGGAATCGAACCTGTGGCCCTGTTGCTCAGAGCCCACGCTCTTAAGCTAACTCTTAACCAACTGAGCCACTCGGCTGGCCCTGTACCCATTATTCTTATATTGCTCTTCCTGATGGAGTCAGATCTTTCATTCAGAGTTCTTTCATTTCTTTTCATTCTCAAGCCTCTCTCTTCTTCCATCTGCATCATTTCCAGATTTCTATCTTCAATGTCACTAATTCTTTCCTCACCTGGACAGCTTTATTTCCTAAGCTTACTATTTCATTCTCTATTTCTGTGATTGAGTTCTTCAGTTCCAGAATTCCTATTTGGTTCTTTTTTAAAATTTTAATCTCTGTGGTAAAGTATTCATTTTATTTATTGATTTTATTTCTGAGTTCATTAAACTGCCCATCTGAGTTTTCTTGCATCTCATTGAATTTTTCAGAACTGCAGTCTTAAATTCTGTCATGTAAGTCACACATTTCCCTGTCTTTAAGTTTATTTTCTGGAGATTTTTCATTTTCTTAGCTACCTTGTTACCTTGGTTATTCATGGTAATTGATGGATTATTTCTCTGCCTAGGCATCTATGAGAATGAATTCTGCAGCAGGTTGATACGAAAGGGTCTTTCTTTTGTTTTCCTGTGGGTAGCACTGAAGATTTTTATTTTCTCCTGCCCTGTTCCAGCTTCTCTCAGCAGACTCTTCCCTGGGGAGGTGGGCATCTCCTTTGTGACCAGCTTGCCTCAGTCTCAGGGCACCGCCCCCTTGGGAGGATGTAGTAGGCGACGGGGTTCTGAGACCAAGAAATCTGAGGCGCCTGCAGCCAGATGCAGAGCTGTGGGCCTCAGCAGCCCTGGGTGCCCCACTGGGATCAGCCGCAAAAGGTGGGGGCAGAGTGGACTGGGAGAGGCCGCTGGTTTGTCTTTGTTCTTCCCCAGGTAACGGTGACACTGCCAGACCACAGCTGCCTCGCCCGTATATCCTCCTTTGTCACGGGAATTAGCCACAGTGTACAACTGCCACTCAGGAACTGTCTCTCCAGTTCTCAGGGCTGTAGATATTCTGTTCTTTAATCTGACGCTGCTGCATTTTCTTCTGGGCCCGTGGCTAGCACTGGGAGGGGGGGGCGAGGCAGCCAGGCTCGCTGGCTTTGCTTCCTGCCTGGCGGTGAGGACTGTCAGACCACAGCTGTGGCATTTCTGTATTTGGTCTTTGCCCTGAGGTCTCTGACCCCATCGCTGGGTTCAGCCATATTACCATGTTTCCCCAAAAATAAGACTGGATCTTATATTAATTTTTGCTCCAAAAGACGCATTTTATTCATGTACAGAAATCTACATTTATTCAAAGACAATCATATCTGGCTGATGCTCTTAACTGGGGCTTATTTTGGGGTAGGGCTTACAGTACGAGCACCCTGAAAATCATGCTAGGGCTTATTTTCTGGTCAACACGGTATATGTTGATCACTCGGGCAGGAGTGCTCGGGGCCACAGACAGTGCACCTGCCGTCTCAACGCCTTTCTGCCCCCGGAGCACAGCGAGCGCCAGGCTGCGTCTGCATCCTCGCCCCTGCACTTGTCCCCTCCCCGCCTCCCCTGTTCCTCCTGGCTCGACGGCATTCAGGTGTTTCCATGCACGAATCTCTCAGACATGTTTGTGTGTTGCACAGGGAATCCTTTGTTAAATTATTGCTGTTCAACTTGTTGTAACTTCAAGGGGAGAGATCAAGGGGGACCCCTCATGCCGCCATGTTTCTGACATCACCTAGGTCTTCTTTAAAAAAACAAAAACATTTTCCATGTCTCTCTTTAACAAGCTGAATCTTCCCTCTAGCTACATGGAATACAGTACAATAACTTTTAATGTCCATGTCTGCTCATTCTAACATCTCCACCAGCCCTGGGCTGATTTTGCTTGATTCATTTTTCTCCTTATTACGGATTGTATTTTCCTGCTTCTTGGCCTGCCTGGTAATTTTTGATTGGGTGCCAGCTATTGTGAATGGTGCTGAACATTTTTGTATTCCTATAAACATTGATGAGGCTTATTCTGGGATCCAGTTAAGTTACATGGAAACAGATTGGTCCCTTCAGGCTTTGTGGTTGAAATTTGTTGGGGCAGGACCAGAGCAGTGTATTGTCTAGACTTACTCTCTGCTACGAAGAAGAGCCTCCTGAGCACTATCCCCTAGCCCCGTGAATTACGAGCGTTTCTCGTCAGGCTGACGGGAACGCACGTTCACCCCGTGGTGGTTTTGGCTGGCGTTCCCCTCTTCCTTTCCGGTGTTTTTCCCCTCACATGGATGCACTCGGCAGTGCTCGGGGGCTCTCTGTAGCTCTCCTCTCCAGCACTCGTCCCTGAAAACTCGAGACGCCATGGTCTCAGCTCTGTCTCTTCAAATCAGGGCTCACCAGGCTCCACCTGGTTTCCACCCTGCACCTCGGAAACTCGCAAGGCTGTGAGCTGGGGTAGCCCTAGGGCTTAGTGCGTTTGTTTTCTGACCCTCGGGTCAGCCTCCTTTGTTACCTGCTGTTCAGTGTCTGATGTTCAATGTACTGTTTCATGTGTTTTGATCACAGTTTTAGTTGTTTCAGGCAGGAAGGTAAATTCAGCCCCTGTTGGTCCATCTTGGCCAGAGGCAGAGGTCCTCTGTCAGCTGTGTTGGTTTAGACTAATCAGGTCCTACTTCTAGCGGTGGAGTGAGGCCAAGCCTACCCAAACCACGTGGGTGCTGCACAGCATGGGAGAGGTGTTGGGAGAACCCACCAGTGTCCACCATGAAATCTTTTGTATGTGAAAGAAGTAATGTTTTAAAAGCAACTCAAAGCCTACCTACCGATGCTTGCTTTAATAATCTGTGGTACATACAGGAAATTGAAACCTACGTCGTATAAGAAAGTATGAGAGAACTATTTATGTACTAAAAGGCATGTTGTTAAATGAAAAACATGTTGCAGGCTAGCGTACATATTAAACGCCTTTTGGGTAAAATGGAGGTGGGGAATAAGAATCTATATTCGTGCTTATTTAAAGATGCATAAAAAAACTAAGAAATGGTTTTCTGTTGAGAGAATAAATGGGAACTAGGCAGATAGTAGACAGGGATGGGGAGTATTTACTAACTTCCATTTTAATGCTTGTTGATTTTTGAACCACATGAATATATTACATATTCAAATATAAAAAGGAAAGATTTTGAAGAATTCTTTCTTCAAGAATTTTGAAGAATAGAAAAATACTTGCAATAAAAGCAAAATTTAAATAAATACATAAGTATGCACATTGATTATGACACCTCTGTAAAATATATACACAGGCATACAAAGTATAAAGAAAGGCAGAAAAATAAAAAGAATTTATGTGCTAAGTTGAAGTTTTTTTGTATTCCAGCTGTTGTGTTAATGTTTGTAAAATTTATTGAAAGGCAGTTGAATTGATGAAAATAAATAAATGCAAATATTTGGTAGGGATTAAAATGAACTGTCTTCTTCCACCTCAGCAGAAATGACTCTAGCAGAGGATGCCACCCCAGCCTGCGAGCCCTGGGCCCACAGCACACACCCAGCTCCGCTGAGCCCAGAGGATTTTAAGCATGTCGGGCTCACCAAGGCTGTTCTGTCAGCCCACACACAGAAGGAAGAGCAGAACTACGTTGATAAATTCCGAGAAAAGATCCTGTCGTCACCCTACAGCTCCTATCTGCAGCAAGAAAGCAGAAGCAAAGCGAAATTCTCATATGTTCAAGGTAGTTGAATTTTTAAAAATGTATTCCATTTATCTACATAGCTGTCAATTTTATAAGCCCTGTGTCAGTACGGGGAGATAATAGGGTGAAGAACGGGGGTTCTGTTTGTAAGGAACTGATTGAGAGATGTTGAAATAAACCTGTATCAACGATTTGTTATCTCGAATCTCTTCTAGATGTGAGAAGCTGATTTTGTAAGAAACTGATTGAGAGATGCTGAAATAAGTGTTTATTTTATAGCAGGATCGTGTTCATCCTTTTAAAGCTACTTTTTGCCATCCCTGAGTAGAAATATTTAGTATTGGCTAATGTTTATTCCTCGGTAATTTTCCTGTAGTAACCTGTAAATGGCATCCTTCTCTTCCTTCGGAGGTTTAGATGTTCGTAATATGCCTCCCTCTATCCTTGTAGGCGAGTCCGCTTCCAAGCCGAGCAGATCAGCCGGCTGCAAGAAGGGGAAGCACAGGCGGAAGATGCTGCCCGTGCCACTGGACAGCCATGGCGCTAAGGGCGCCCTCTGTCCCCCCGGCGGAGGAGAGGTCCAGAACACGCCACTCTGGTGCCCTGCCCCGGCTTCTCCTCACGCCCCCGGCCTGTCGTTCCCGGCCACAGTGATGGTTCCCAGCCCGGCCCCTTATCTCGCACCAGCGTTTCCCCTCCCAGCTGTGACCTCTCTGGGTGGAGAACACGCAGCCTCAGTAACTGCACTAGACTGCCTGCCCTTATCCAGTGGCTTGCGGTCTTTTCCGGCCCTCCCTGCTCCTCACTTAGGTACTTTCATGACCGTTTTCCTGCCTGCCCCTCCTGTGTGTCCTCTCTCGGCCCCATCATTCTCTCCATATCCGTTCCGGGAAGCACCAGGCTCTTTGGAAATACCACCCTCAGTGTCAGCAATGGCTCCAAGCCTGGAAGCGCCGTCTCCAGCCGTCAGCCACAGGCAAGCTGCGGACAAGTGGGAAGCCCAGAGTGGAGAGCCCGCGTTCCTGAACTCGAGGAGCAGCTCGCCCCTGCAGCTCAACCTGCTGCAGGAAGACACGCCCAGGTCCTGCGAATCCGCAGATCAGATGAGAAGGGACATGTGCCCAGAGGCAGAGTGTGTAAGTGGCACGAGCTTTCAACACACGAGTGAGAAAAGCAGCCTGGGTCCTCTCAGTAAACTGAGGCTCTTCCCCGGGGCCTCCCCACGGTGGCCAGAGTGGGTACTTGCTGCTGTGGCTGAGACAGCTTGTTCTGCTCGCACGTACACCATGGCTTCCTGGCCCCACTTCAAAAGCAGGAAGGAAAGAATCTTTCTTCCAGAGTGCTCTTTCAAATCTCCTATATGTACTAAGTTTGCCTCTCCTTTAAAATTTGATATCCAGGCATTAAACTTGACCATTGCCTCTAGAATATATTTTCTTACCTACAACTGGGGTAGTGGTCTGGTAAGACAGGGATAAGCCATATACTGACAGGACATGAGTTTAGCAACTTTCTTTTTTCAGTTGTAGGTGGAGGGGGTAAGAGCCATTTATTGTCAATACTTATGAGTAAAGTAGGCAGTTTGTAATTTCATATTCATACATGTCACCTTCAAAAATGAAAAATTTGGGTTCAGTTTCCTTTAGCGTTTCATCCCTCTACCTAAAAAGTCGTTCTGAAATCATCAGGTTAAAATTTGGAATATGATGTTCATATATTTAGGTATAGGATCCAAGATGAGTGTGAATGTTTACAGTTTCTCTTCAGTCTTCCCTTCAAGGTATACTGTTTTTTACAGATGACCCAAATCAAGAAAATCGGATGACCTAAAGCCAGAAAATCGGCTCAATTTTGAAAGCCTGATATTAGTGCAGTTGATAGACATCTAATGCCTGGCTGTGTATCCCCGTGAGCAGAGCCTGGGCTAAGAACCAAGACGAGGGTTCAGGTCCCAGCCCAGTCACTTGTTAGGTGGCTTCGCTTAGACAAGTCATTTAACCTAGCTTTGCCTTTGTTTCCTTATTTGAAAAATGGAACAATTAATACTGCATAGCATCCTGAAGATTACGTGAAGTGACATTTATGTAGTTCTTCCCATGCAATGTAAGCTCTAGGATAGCTGGAACTTTTGTTCACTGTTATTTTCCTAGTATTGGGAACACTAATACTAGTGTTAATATATATATAAAATGTATAAAATGTTCAGCATATATTTTCTGAATGACAAGTAACAAAAGCACAGCTGTAGAGTCTGTCACAGACTCTAGAGTCTGTAGAAGGTGCTCATAACACACTAGTACCTTGAATATTAATACAAAGGCACTTGGACCACGTTCTTGGGAACAGGCTGAAAAATGTTTTCTTAGGTGTATATGTTTATTTTGTTCTGTTTAACATGTGAAGGTGAAGATCCACATTATTTTGTAACATGATGCTTGAGATGTTCAATTTTTTTCTTGTGTTTGTCCTTTCTAGCCGTGTGTGATTGGCATCGGCGGGAATAAGAACAGTCATTTTACTGCCAGGGACCCGTCCACGGTGCCCCTTCTCGGGGCATCTCCATCTGGGTCTGGCTCTGCAGCTTCAGGTAGGGATCAAAGTAACAAAGTCTTCGAGCTCTGTTGCCAGGTGTTCACCGCCGAATGGGCTGTTTGGTTTGGGCACGGGTGTGGACGTAAAGTATATCTTCCTTTTTGTAAGCTTTATTGGGGTGTATTTACATACAGTAAAATACACCTGATTTAGGTGTTTAAAACAAGAATTCCAACAAATGTATACATTAGTGTCACCACCACCACAGTCACCAGATAGAACATTTCCATCCCCCGGGAAATTCTGTGACCCTTTGCAGTCAGGCCCTGCCCTGATCTCTCACTTCTGGCAACACCAATTTGCTTTCTGTCACTAGTTCTGTTTTTCCTACAATTTCATATCAGTTGAATCACCCAGCATGCAGCCTTTCGTGTCGGGATTCTTGCAGTGAGCTTAATGCTGTTGAGACTCATCCTTATTGTCTGGATCAGTAGTCCCTTTTCATCGCTAAGAAGAACCACACTGTATGGCTGTCCATTCACCAGTGTCCATATCATTGATGGCTGTTGGGTTTCCAGTTTGAGCTACTTAGGAATAATGCTGCTGTGAACATTTGAGTCTGAGTCTTTTTGTGCATATGTTTTCTTTTCTCTTGCGTAAATACCTAGGAATGAAATTGCTAGGTCATGAGTGTGGTTAACTTCATAAGAAAATGCCAAACTGTTTTCCACAGTGGCCATACCTTTTTGCATTTTTACCAGCAACATATGAGCGCTCCAATCTGCAATACATCCTGGCCAGCACTGGGTATTGTCCGTCATTTATTTTAGCCATTCCAGTGGGTATATAGTGATACCTAATTGTGGTTTTAATGTGCATTTGCTTATCAATTAATGGTGTTGAGTATCTTTGAATGTACTTTTTGCCATCATATGTGTTCAAGTTTTTTGCCCATTTTTTTGTGGGCTGGGGGGCTATTAGTTTCTTCTTGAGTTGTAAGAGTTCTGTAGATACTGTGGATACAAGTCCTTTATCAAATATTTGTTTTGCAAAATTCTCCTTCCTGTGTGTGTGGTTTGCCTTTTCATTTTATTACTTCTTATTTTTATCTTCATTTTGAAAAGCAAAAATTTTTTTTAATTTTGATGACATTCAATTGATCGATTTTTTTTTTCCTTTTATATAAGTTGTGCTCATGTGTTCTTTTTAAGAAATCTTTGCCTATGCCAAAGTCAGTAAAATGGTCTCCTGTCTTGGAAGTTTTATAGGTTTTGCTTTTATAGTTAAGTCTGTGATCCATTTGCAGATAATTTTTATATATGGTGTGAGGTTAGGGTCAATATACTTGCCTTTGCATATGGATATCCAATTGTTACTGCCCCGTTTGTTGAAAAGACTGATCTCTCTTTCCCCCACTGAATTACCATGGCACCTCTGTTGAAAATAAACTTGGGTCTGTTTCTTGACTCTGTTCTGTTTATCTTAATGGTTAGCTTTAGGGTAATCCCACGCTTTTTAGAGTAGTATAGCTTTCAAGTAAGTCTTCAACTCTGGTGGGTTAAGTCCTCCAAATTTATTCTTCTTTTCGAAATAATTTTGGATAGTGTACACCCTTTGACCATGTAAATTGTAGAATCAGGTTACTGGCGTCTATAAAAAAGCCTGCCTGCTGGGGTTTTGATTGACATTGTGTTTGGGAATTATCACCCTAACAGTATTGAATCTTCTAATCCATGAGCATGATACGTTTCTCTTTCATGTAGGTCTTTAAATTTTCTCAGCAATGATTTGTAGTTCCCCATGTACAGGTTTTACATGTATTTTGCTAAATTTATCCCTAAGGATTTCGTATTTTTGATGCTTTAGCAAATGACATTTTAAAGTTCCAATTTCCAATTGTTTGTTGGTAGCATGTAGAAATCCAGTCAAATTTTGTATTTTGAGCTTTGTATTCTGCAATCTTGCTGAACTCGATTAGTTTTTAGTAGCTCTTTTGTAGATTCTGTAGGACTTTTCTACATAGACAGTCTTGCTATCTGCAAATATGGTTGTACTTCTTCCTTTCCAATCTGTATGCCTTTATTTATTTGTCTTGCCTTATTTGACTGGCTAGGATCCCAGTACAGTGTTGAATACACTTGGTGGGACAGGCATTCTTACCTTGTTCACCATCTTAGGAGGCAAGGAGTCAGAGTTTCGCCATTAAATACGATGCTAAATGTAGGTTTTCCTTAAATGTTCTTTATCAGTTAAGATTGTGGAAGTTCCTTTCTACTGTTAATTTGCCAAGATGCTTTTCCTACATCTACTGAGATAATCATATGCTTTTTCTCCCTTATTTTATCAATATGGTGAATTACATTAATTAATTTTCAAATATTAAATTAACCTTGTACTCAGGTCATCTGATTTTATCCTTTTAATAAATTCGATAGCCTACTGTTTTGTTAAGGATTATTGCACCTATTTCTGAGAAATATTGGTCTATTGTTTTCTTGTAATGTCTTTGTCTGGTTTTGGTATCAGAGTAATGCTGGCTTAAAAAACATTGGGAATGATTTCCTCCTCTTTTGTTTTCTGCAAGACTGTGTACTCAATGGATATTATTTACAATATATCTTCCTTCTATGTTTGGTAGGATTCACCAGTAAAGCCATCTGGGCCTGACGTTTTCTTTGTGAGAAGGTTTTTTAAAACAACGTATTTAATTTATTTAATAGATAGGGCTCTGTTCAGGTTATCTGTTGCTTCTTGAATGATCTTTGGTAAGTTGTATTTTTCAAGGCGTTTGCCCATTTCTTCTAAGCTGTCAAATTTACTGTCATTAAAGTTGTTTATAATATTCTCTTATTTTAATGACCATAGAATCTATAGTAATCTTACTGCTGGTATAATAAATATTTCCTGATTATTCTGACTCTATGTTTACCAATTTCATTAATTTGTCAAGCAACTTCTCGTTTCATTGCATTATTTTTTCCTATTGATTTTTGGTTTTGTATTTTATCAATGTCTGCTCTAATCTTTATTATTTCTTTTCTTCTGTTTACTTTGGATTTGATTTGCTCTTTTTCTAATTTCTTAAGGTAGGAAGTTTAGACCATGGATTTGAGATTATTTTTCCTCCTGATATAAACATTTAATGTTTTTAATTTCCCTGTAAGCATTGCTTTAGCTGCATTGCTCAGATTTTGATATGGATGTTTATATTTTCATTCAGTCTAAAATGTTTTCTAATTTCCCATGTGTTATTTTCTTTGACCATAGGTTATTAGAAATGTATTTAATTTCCTAATATTTTGGGGATTTTTCCAGGTATTTTATTGGTTTCTAAGTTCATTGCAGTCAGAAAACATTATTTGTATATATTTTTAATTTACCAAGGCTTGTTTAATGGTCCAGAATTTGGTCTGTCCTGAGAAATGTTTCATGTGCACTTGGAAAGAATGTGTGTTCTGCAGTCTGAGTAGTGTCTTCTATAAATGTAAATTAGATCAAGTTGGCTAATGTTGGTCCAGCCTTCAACATCCTAACTGATTTTCTATCTACTTGTTTTATCAGTTATTAAGACAGAGCTATTAAAATGTCCAGATATAATTGTGAATTAGTCTCTTCTTTTCTTGCAGTCCAATCAGTTTTTGTTTCATATATTGCAAAGCTCTTTTATTGGGTCCATACACATTTAAGATTGCTATGTCCTTTTGATGACTTGATCCTTTTATTATGAAATGTACCTTGCTTTGAAATCTATTTTGATACCAGTGTATTCACTGGTGTTTGATTAGTGTTTACATGGCATATTTTTTCATCTTTTTACTTTTAACTTACATGTGTCTTTATATTTAAAGTTGATTTTAGGTAACCACCATATTATTGGGTATTGCTTTTTTTTTTAAGATTTTTATTGGGGAATGGGAACAGCGCTGGGGAATTGGGGGAAGGGGAACAGACAAGTTGCTGTCCTTTTGTTCTTCAGTCTAGTTGTGGAGGACGTTGCTTCACTGGCCCAAGTTGGCACCATCATTGTGCTCTTCCCGGGTGAGGCAGATCAGTCGCCGGCTTCTGGACGGCTGCTCACAGCGGCTGCTGGCCGCTCACGCTGGCTGCTGGCTACACACAGTAGCCCATGGCAACCCACTGCAGCAGGTGCTGCAGCCTACGCCGTCGCCAGCGACTCACGGCAGCCCAGCTCCAGGTCGAGCTGCTGTTCAGCATCTTAGCTGTAGAGGGCAGTGTCAGTGGCCTTCATATGTGGGATCTGAACCAGGGCCCTCTGGTGTCCCAAGCCAGCTCTTAACCACCATGCCACTCGGCCAGCCCGGGTATTGCTTTTTTATCCATATGAAAATCTCTGCCTTTTAATTGGAGTACTTAGACCATTTACATTTAATGTAATTGTTGACATGGTTAAATTAAATCTTCCATTTTTGTTACTTATTTTATGTTTTATTATCTTCTCTTTCTTCCTTTTTTCTTCCTGCCCTCCTACTTTTTGGTGTGTATTTTTAATTATTTTATTTTCTCTCCATTATTGGCTTCTGAGCTATACCTCTTTTCTTTCTTTCTTTCTTTCTTTTTTTTTCTTTCTTTTGTTCGTTTGTTCATTCTTTCTTGTCATTGCTTTAGGATTTAAAGTGTACCTTATTTACCACAATTTACTTTCAAATATTATTCCCTATTATATCACTTTATGTCTAAGAACCCTAAAACGGAATACTTCCATGTTCCCTTCTTGTCTTTTGTGCTGTTTTTATCATACATTTTACTTCTTCATGTATTATAAACTCATGAGAAAATTGTTATTGTTTTTGCTTTAAATAGTCCATTACCTTTTAAAGGGATTTTTTTAATGAGGAAAATGTCTTTTATATTTACCCATAAACTTACTTGATTAAAATATTAGAGAGATACTTTGTTTTGTTTTGTTTTAATTGTTCCAAAGTTGATGGGAAGGATATAGAAGGGTCAGATCCAAGATAGGAAAGGAACGATCCGTATGGCTCCATAGCAGCCATAAAACGATGGTTTTTCTTTTGTAACAGGAGAAAAGTGAGGGGAGAGTGCAGACATGAGTAAGTTTATGTTTGGTATCAGGATAATGAGCTTCCTTTCTAAGGGCTTCTGCTTTTTCCTTATAGGAAAAAATGAGGGGGGAGACAGGACAGTAGGAAGTGGTCATTGCCGGGGATGGACTCGTGCGCTGACCAGAGGACTAGGGCAGGGTTTCCAGGCTCTTGGATGATGCTTTTGGTGATGATGAATTTATTGTAGAACCAATTCACCCTGTTCTGTGTGACTTTCTCCATGTCTTTGCTTTCTTGGGTGTTAGGTGAGAACAGAATTGACCATTGGCTTTAGTGCAGTTTACATTTTGATAGTTGTGGGAAGTTGGAGGGAAAAGGAAGCCCAAGGTTTCGCAAAGAGCATTAGTGAATGATGGCCTTTGTGCTCTAAGCTGAATGGCTAAGGCACTGTTCCACATTTGTAATCTAACAATTGAACAAGCAAATGACAAAGTGAAGCTGAGATGTCAGCAGATTAGGACATGGAGCTGAGATGGAGCAGTTCTGGGTGGTGATAAGGCCTTGAGAGTGCATATCTCAGGAGGACTGAGAAAGATCTTAGAGGCTCAAGGAACTGGAAGGCTCAGGTGACCTGGGATGATGGCTGGGCTGCGTGGTGAAGAAGGCTGTCGGCTAGTGGCCGAAGTCTTTGAGGAATGAGTGTCAAGTTGGCAAATCAGTCCCTGGAAGGTATTGTCTAATTTATTATTGTTGTTGATTTTTTATAGGAAGCAGTGACAGCAGTATATACTTTGGTAGTAGTGATTATTCCTCAGAAATCACCCCAAACGGGCAGCAGTCTCAGGATGTACCGAAAAAAGAAGCATTTCCCAATTCAGCTGAAGAGTCCATCTGGAGAATGATAAAACAAACACCTGAATGCATTCTAATGACATATCAGGTACCTGAGAGGTAAGAAAGCACTTTAGAAAGCCCTCTTTTATATGAGTTTTTTAGTGGTTTAAGTGTCTGTTTGTATAATACAAAGTGATTTCTAGAGAAACGTATTTTCAAATTCATTTATTTGAAGTCACATGACGAATGGTTTCCTAAACAGTGGTTACAGGGGTAGTCCTACACATCTGCAGATCCAGACTAAATAAGCACGTTTCGCATCATGAGATGAGAGAACAAAGAAAGCAGTGCTTTCCAAGATGGCACACAAGTGTAGGAACTTTTCTTTTTGGACTCTGGATTTTTTTTTCCATTCTAAGAGTAGAACTAAAGGGAATCTGTTTCTTCTATATGTCTCATTAAAACACTCTACAGCTGGTTTCCACCAAGAAAAAGAGGTCTAGCTTTATTACCAAGTTGACAAAGAAATGATTCAGTTATTTTTAATGTGTACATCATGTATGCATGTCAACAAGAAATATGAAGTATATTATAAAACAAAAAGAATTGCTATTCCTAGATGACATGAAAGGAACCCTGGGCCTCATTCAGGACTATAAGGTTTTGTTTGTTTGTTTGTTTGTTTTTAGAGTTAAAGACATTGTCCTGAGAGAAGACCTGGAGAAGCTGGAAAGCATGCGGCCACAGCAGCCACAGTTTTCTCACGGGCAGAGGGAGGAGCTGGCCACGGTTCATCCTTGGATTCAGAACCGGACCATCCCTCAGGAGATAGACACGCAGGTAAGCGCGGTCATGGTGTCGTCGCAGGTGCAGACACAGGCTGTGTTCTAGGCACGTAACATACATTGCATGATCCCACCGGAAATTTGACTCACAGTCACTTCTGCAGTAGGTGGCGTCATCCCTCCCTTACCAATACACAACAGAGTAAGGTATTCAGATATGAGATAATTTGCAGATGGTCACACAGTTCATCAGATTTTGAGTATAGGTCTTTATGGCTCCCAAGTTTTTTTTTCTTCCACCAGTTGGAATATTATGGGACTGTAGGAGTAAAGACACCGCCTGTGATGTGTGATTGACTGGGGAGGAGAGGGCAAAGAGATTTACATTTCAAATAGGCATGCGTGTTTGAAAAGAGTTAAAACTCAAGATGTAAGATTCACACCAGAGGTCGTGTTCATACCTGGCGGGAATTTCCGTGGGACCCCAGTGGTCTTTGTGCTGCTATGAGGTCTTCACAGTGAGGTCATACGTGAGCGGCCTGAACAGTGAAGCTGTGATTTACGGTGGTCCCAGCAGTTGGTTCCGTGCCGATGGTTGGGACTGTCGTGGGAGGTGATGTGCGAAGTTAAAAATTATAACAAGGGAATAAACTGAGGTGTCCAAAGAAGTGCATATTAAAACTTATGGGTAAACAAGTCATTGGCGTTCTCCCCACCCCCATTTTTAAAGAAAAGAACGAGTGCCTGCTCTTAAAGGCTGGCTGGATATGGTCTCACCAAAAAGAGGAGCCCGCTGGTTACCATAAGCAAAGTCTTTATTGGTTAATCATTGTTTTTCTGGTTTTTGAGTAGAAGGGTATATGAAGAACGTGACCCCAAACAATTTAAACAAAAGCTTTTACACAATTGCTGTCATTTATTTACCTTCTAATAATGAGGAATGAGCCATAGTGGGTATTCTTAGACATGAGTAGGGGGGGGGGAGTTACAGGTTGCTCGGCCAGCATTTTACTGATTTTAAATCTTTGCAGATGACATTACATCAAATAACCTGTCTGTTCTGGTTCTTTCTTGGAGGGCTGCGTCACTTGCGAAAAGGAAGACTCAATTGGTGATGCTGTAGAGTCCTGTGGTCAGGAGCCAGCAGAAGACAGCAGCTGAGTGACCCTGAATATGTGCCCGCACACCCCCTCGGGCACCTGCCGCACAGCTGGACATCTTTGTGTCTCTAAACCCCTGACTCTTAAATGACCATGACGTTATCGTTGAATGTTAAGGTTTTTCCTTCTTGGTTTTTCAATAGACAACCATTTTTCTGAAGCAGACATTGTACATAGAATCTTTTACTTGTCCTTGTTCCTGTCTTAAGACTATCTCTGGGCTCTCTTTGTAGTTTAGCTGTCTTCTCAGGAGATTGGATGGCTTCTAAAAAGGTGTGTGTGCAGCAAAACTTTATTTCAGGTGTCACCCAAAATGAACTCTAGTTAGACACATAGCTGGAAAACGCCCCAAGCCTTAGCCTCGCTAATTTTGTTTTATTGTTACATAAATCATTTCCCCCTGTTAGAGTAGGAGAAGAAATCCCACCTGTGGGCCACATACTTTTCATAATGGTTTCATAAATTCAGCATCTGGTCTTTGCACAGCTTGATGCTTCTCCTCCATAATGAAGATCAAACATTATAGTTTTCTTAAAACACAAGTCACTTTACTATTTACCAAGATTAAAATATACTGCCCATAGAAATACCTAGTTCTGAAGGTTTGAAGGTTGCATTTTGACCTTTGTTCTTATAGATGCCTTTCTTTTTGATTTTCCACTTTCCACTGAAATCCTTAGTCTTATCTTAAAAATCAATCAGCTTACAATGAGCTTATTCCTCAGAGAATTCAAAGTAGCTTTTGCTCGTATCATTTTAAAACAAAAGAGCTTCTAACTCAATGGCATTTCCCTTTTTAATGTTTTTGTTTTTAAAATAATGATTGTAAAAATATTCAAAAGTTTTGTTAAAAATTAATATCGTTTTTATATGCGTCTGTGTTTAAATGTGTTTAAACCAAAACTGACAGTTAACTCCTTCTTTCCAACCAATTTACACAAAAAAAGGTCTCCACCCCTGCCAGAGGCCTGATTGGCACTGACTTTGGTTTGCCCTTAAACAGGGGTAAGTGTTGGGGGGCTGCACAGTGAGAAAGGGGTCTGCAGGAACTCAGTAGTCCTAGCCAAGGGGGGCCGCAGAGCCTGCTGTCTACACCCACTGTAGTCGTGTCTTCTAAGAAGAGTGGGTTCTTTACATCATCAGTTACCTCCCTGTCCTGCAGAGAAGTTGATGGCTCCTTCCCAGACTTGGAGTGACATGTGCAACTCACACCCAAGTAGTCCAGAAAAAGCAAATAGAAAAAATGAAAGTTATAGTAACCTTTTATCTTTATGTAACATGCAACAAACTAACTTATTTTTCTTTGTTGTTGTGTTTTTTGTTTGTTTTATTTTGTTTTAGGAAAATACTTCTTCCTCCTTTCTAGTTTTATAGCTTTTTATAAAATGCATCCTGATAATAACTAGGAAAATGGACCTTTTTATCCGCGATGACTGCTGGGCCCTGATTCTCGATCCCCGTAGCTTAGATTTTTTCCTAGAAGGTAATTCTCTCTTAAGGTGTCAGAACCATTTTCAAATGCTGCCTCTCACATTTCTTGGAATTTTCTACTATTAAGCAGTTCCATGCAAATATTCCTGTTTTATGAATGATAACTCTCATATTTTACTCCATCTTGATGGTTAAATAATTTCTGAAGCCCTTGTTGTGTTGGCCAAGTTATGTGGTCTTTTTGCTTTTGGTGGAAAAAATCGGATTTGAAAATATTAATCATCCTGGAATATTGTCCATCAGCAGAATCATTGTGACCTTCTGTAGTGATAAGATTTTTAATTTGTGTAAGTCAGAAATGGCATGAAGCTGTCAGCGGATGATTCTGCATTCGTGTATGCATATTTTAAACCTTATGTTCTCTAGTAATACATGCCCTTCTCTTCCATTCTTTCTGGATATTCCTCTAAATCTGCTTACTTCTTTGCCTTAGTACACGTTTTATGGAGTGTACACTATATTAGGCTTGATTTGAAACCGGTGCTTGTTGTAGGCAGATCTCTAAAACCACTTAGTATTCTCGGATTTGGACAGGTAGACTCGTTGGTGCGTTTAGAGACTGGACCGCGACGCTCCCACTGCCGAATGTGAGGGATCGAGGCCCAGCAGTGCCACCACCGCCCCCCAAGGGGGCTCGGCCCAGTTGTACACTTTGTTGTTCAAGTTTATTAACTTTTTGTATTAATGACTATAGAAATTGGTGATAAGAAATGTATATTACAGGCTTCAATGTTTACATATATGTTACCCAGAAGGCTGTATTTTCTTGTGTAAGAGGTCAGGATTTATGAAAAACAATGCTATGTGAACGGAAGCGTTCTGCAATTCAGTCAAATTTCATGATAATTCACAAGGTAAATGTAATGCAAATTGAAATTTTGTTTCAACTGAATTTAAAATCAGCTGTGTGAATTTGCTTGTTTTTAATGGTTATTAATATTTTACTTGGGTATCTTTTTTAAGTAAAAACAATAAATAAACTGTGTACATATAAAACTTGAGAAATGTCCTTGCACTGTATCAGCAAACCTCTGCTCCGAGTCTGTATTTTATGTCATTTAGAAATGTTTGTTAAGATACTCTGAAAGGTGCTCAAGTTAGTTTCGTGCTCTAGGCACCACCTGCTGTCAGCATTGCCAGACGTGTGTGAGGCCCCGTGGGGAAGGCCCGGCATTTCCAAACTCATTGTCTTACTGAGTCCTCGCTTCAACTCTGAAGAACTGACTGGGTCCTGATTTTAATGCCTAATTTATAAAATTCAATTACCCAAATTCTTTCAGATTCTGTAGTGAGGCTGCATTTCACCCAGTCTGTGTCACTGGCAGCAACCAAATCTCAAAACTAACACCTGAAACAAGATCCTGACACCGCCAGGCCTTTTTCAGTGGGAACCCTCTAATCATGTGCAGCTCTCTCTGACAAAACAGTGACAACACAGAGAAGGAAAGAGGGCTTAGTGTGTGCTATTCCAGCAGGAACCGTCGGAATGCTCTCCACGAATTCCCTCAATGCTCATGGGCATTGAGCACTGTGACTACCCTCATTTGATAGCGAAGGACCCCGAGGTGGACGAGGCACAGAACTTGGCCAAGGACTCCCAGCTGTGTGTGTTGGGAGAGGGGATTGGAACCCCGTAATGTGGGTCCAGAGCCCCATTGTGAGGATATTAGCCTAATATCACTAAAATGAGGGAGGGATTTTAGAATTATACACAATGGCATTCCACCTTAAATTCTTTCTGGTGTTATAAATATCAAATAGTTTCATGGTTCCAGGGTTCTGTTTAGTTAACTAGCGTTAGTTTAATTGCAATAGAGACGCCACAGTGTCCCCACAGCTACACATGCCAGCGTGTGCCTGAGATGACGCAGCCATCTCGAGTTTAAAACATCTGCTGGTTGGTTCTTGGCATGTTCAGTAAGGAAAGAAAAGCCCACGCTGTGGAAGGTTTCTGATGGCTGCTGACAAGATCAGTAGCAAGTGTGTGTGGCGGCCTTCCCTCCCGGGCCGCGTGTCAGTCGGAACGGCAGAGCTAAGCAGGGACGCTCGAGAGTCTCACTAGGAATTGCGCTCTCCCGTGGGCCTGGCTCTGTGCCGCACGGAGCTCGGGAGCTCACGGTGCGCATTCTACACTGTCCAAGCTACGTTTCTGTAGACGCCTTCACAGCATGTACAACACCCACACCAGTGGTTTTTAAAAATTAACAAACCAGGCCATTTCTTCCATTCCAGTCTTAAGTCCCATCTAAGCGTTCTACTCTGTAAGACAGATTATGAAGGCATTTTTCTAGCATAAGGAAACTGAGGTCAACAAGTTCAGTGTTAAGAGACTGAAGTTTTCAAGGGTTCAGGACTGCGGTCAGCTCGGAGGGGCCAGAGCCACGGTCTTCCTTCCCATCTGACACTGAGGAGAACTCAGCCTGTTCCCAGGCCTCATGCTGAGGCAGCCTGCAATCAGAGATGTTTGCAAGCTTGGATGCTGATTTTTTTTTAAAGTAATAACTTACATTGTCATTTGTAAGGGTTGAGAGACATGGTAGCTAAGATAATGTGCTTTTTTAAGTTATGTGTAGTTTTAACTATTTTAACCAAATTTTATTTTTATGACTTTTTCTTAGCATTTGCTTCTGTTCATTTATTAGCTTTACTTTCAAATTCTCAGAGAATTCTTTAAGGATAAATTGATGGAAACGAGAATTATAGATTTTTAGCCTATGTTTATAAGTAAAATAGCCACTGGTGGTATTTGCAAAACATAGGATTTATTTTCCAAATAATAATGAACAGGGTATACAGTGCTTAGCTTTCTTCTATACTGTTCAAATCAAGCATTTTGATTTTTAATTTCCTAAGATGGTTGTTTTGAGTTGACTGATGTTCCTTTTACTTCAGACACAATATTTCCAGAAGCATTCAGAGGGAGGTCCACGTTCCTTATATTGTCTCCTGATTCTGGCCAAAAGATGACTCAGTAAAATGTTGGGATCTTGTCCAGAGAGAGCCTGAAACGAAAACGATCCAAACAAACAAACGAGCAGATAGGTTATCAATGAATTAAAGAGCCCTACGCGGGAAGGGGCCGTTGTCAGCGCTAGGACCTTTCCTCTGGCTCTGGGACATCAATGTGGTAAGAGCCAGTGAGGGGGCTCTGTCAGGGCGGCTGTGCCAGCCAGCGCTGGCCAGGAAGTCCCCTAAACCCTCACTGACATGTTCCTATGTCAGTAGTCTGTCAGTAACATGTCTGTACACTCACTGTCCTCTGTGTAAAAGACATCTTTTATTTGTCTTGAAATTAACTTCTTTAAGCGTGGATCCTGAGTTTGGGGGGTTTTTAATTCTAGAATTTCATGAGCAAATCCTAATCACCTTTACGATTTGAGTTTTGAACCATAATCCTTTGATTCGGAAGACTATAACCATGTGAATGCGAGCGCTGACTTGTCACACGTGAAAGCCACACCGTCCCTTTCTGGGTGGCTTATCTATCCCCTGTGGGGCCTCAGGTGGTGTGTGCCATCTCCGGGACTGACTTTCTCCAGAGTATATTTTTACAAGGATATTAATGGGTACTCCACCAAAGCGTTTGGGAAGTGCCTGGTTGAAGTTAAATTAGCTTATCTCATGATCTGGAGGCTTTAATGTGCGAATGTACACCGCGAATCGCCAGGAGAGGGAGGGGCTAGGACAGCATGGCCTGGACTGGCTCATTCGTGGGCCTGGTGCACCTAGGAAACCCTTTAGGAAACACTAATTTAGAGTTGGGGGGGAGGGGGAGTTGATAATGATCAAATACAGATTTTTCTTTTAGCGTTTAACACCCTCCATTAATTGTACATCATTTCTAACCATCTGATATCACTCATCATTCCCTGTCTACAGTCTCTGCTACACCCCACGTGACGTCATATTCTCTCTACTGCACGCGTGTGTGTATATTCCACCCAGCACAGTGTTTGGGGCATAACACCCTTCCACTCAGATGTTACATTGCAGGACTTTGCAGACTTCAATGGGCATCCGAATCGCCGGGGGGGATCCTATTAAGCGGCAGATTTTGATTGGGCGCTGGGGGTGGGGTCAGATTCAGCATTTGTCACAAGCTTCCAGGTGACACAAGTGCTGCTGGTCCACAGGCCACATGTGAAGATGATGAATGAGACAGCACAAGCGGATGACAAACGAGAGCACGGACCTTACGTATTTTTTCTTTATAGTTTATCCAAGACAGGTACTAGGTGAGTTATTATATTTACATTTTCTATGACTCAAAATTTGGGAAAAAAATTTTTTTTAATTTGGAAAAATTAATGTTTTGAAGTAGCAGTGACTGGCCAGTGATTTTAAGGTGAAATTCCTACCAAAAACACTGGTCCGGTTCATGAATTTAGGATTCTCTGAAGTCACCTTTTTTAACCTAACTCTCATAAATAGAGTCGCTTACCTTTCTCATACTTCCTTTTGGGTTAAAAACGTTGGTACTGGGATCTGGAAAACAATATTTTGAAACCATTCATCATCAGATCTGTTGATTCTCTTTTATACTTATTTAAAAACACACAGAATATTACTAAATCATGTCTAGTTTCTAGTCTCCGTTTTTTCACAATGCATTATTTACTTCAAGGCAGATAGGCAGGCACTCTTGCTCTTCTTACATATGGAATTGACAAAGGGCACTGCATTTTCCTCAGTAAGTTAGCAGTTCAGTAGGTTATCAAAAATATTTTATAAAAATAAGCTTTCTATTAAATGATGTCTATTAAAAGGCTCCATTTTTAATGATTTTTATTAAAATATAGCTAACATACAATCTTATTTTAGTTTCAGGTGTACACCATAGTTCAACATTTATAGACCTAAAGAAGTGATCACCATGATAAGCCCAGCAACCATCTGACACTGTACCACGCTATCACAATATTACTGACTATATTTCCCAGGCGGTACATTACATTCCCATGACTTACTTGTTTTATACCTGGAAATTTGGACCACTTATTTCCCTTCACCTTTCCCCCCCTTTTTAATTTTTCAATTACAGTTGACATTCAATATTATATTAATTTCAGGTGTACAGCATAGTGGTCAGACATTTATATAATTTAAGAAGCGATCCCCCTGACTAGCCTAGCCTAGTACCCACCTGGCACTGTACATGGTTATTACCATATTATTGACTATATTCCCTATGCCTTTCTTTACATCCCCATGACTATTTTCTAACTACCAATTTGTGTTTTTTTTTCTTTTTTTTTTTAGCTGAGCCATCCTGCCATCTGTTGGCAGCTCAGCAGCAGCTCAGCTTGGGGCCAGGACTCGAACCGCTGTTGCTCAGAGCTCGCAACTCTTGAGTGAGCTCTTAACCAACTGAGCCACTCGGCTGGCCCAATTTGTATTTCTTAATCCCTTCACCTTTTTCTCCCTGCACCTCAATTCCGCCTCCCATCTACTGCCCCAATAAATCTATTACCCATCTGACACCATACATAGTTATTACAATATTATTGACCATATTCTTCATGCTATATAATACATCCCCATGACTACTGTGTAACAACCAATTTGTACTTCTTAATCCCTTCCTTTTCACCCATCCCTCCCATCTATCAACCATCAAAATGTTCTCTATATCTATGAGTGTGTTTCTGTTTTGTTTGTGTATTTTGTTCTTTAGCTTGCACTTAGTGAAATCTTATTGCATCTGTCTTTCTCTGTCTGACACTCCACTCAGCACAATACACACCAGGTCCGTCCATGCTGCCACAGATGGCAAGAAGCCATTCCCTTCCATGGTCAAGCAATATTC